ATGATGATGATGATGATGATGATGATGATGATGATGCTGATGATGATGATGATGATGATGATGATGATGATGATGATGATGATGATTGTGATGATGATGCTGATGCTGATGCTGATGCTGATGCTGCTGATGATAATGGGGCCCAAAACCCGGAACGCATGCTGGATGTTAAACATTTGCAACGTCCTGATCTGAAGGTCGAGCGGCGGTTCGGTCATTTCAGGAGGGAGAATGGGCACAGACACATATTCCCACGAAGATGTGGGAACATATGGGAAGCGGAGGGGAATACGAACCTCCAGAACATATGAACAAACATAAGGGGGATCCTGGAGTCTGTGTCTATTTGTAGTCTATTTGTTTGTGTCTCCTTGGGCCTCTTTGATACTTGTCCTCCCCGTTCTCCCCAGGAGCCGTCGCACCCCCAGCCCTTCTCGCCGGCCTCGACGCTCTCCTGGAGCAGCGACAGGGAGCACTGGAACGATGGGCGGGGGAAGTACAATGGGTGCGGCGGCCGCTGGTCCCCAGAGAAGGACAATTTCGGATGCAACTCCTGGGAGGTCAATTTCTGACTTTGCCCTGGTCCGAAATCCGGTTCAATCCGTCTGCATCCCGCTAAATCCTTTTAAAATTCCGCTTAATCCGCGGCCTCATCCGGCGTAGAAGCCCCCCAACGAGGCTTGATTCTCCCTCATCCTTCCGACGAAGAGCTCCCATTAGTTGCCTCCTAAGAAAATGCACCCATACCGCTCCGTGTTTCCCTTTTTGGGCCTCCTGGGAGGCCCCCGTCGCCACCGCTGGGTTCGCCTCGAAGTCCCTGTCAGAACGACCCCAGGAGAGGTCCGTGGAGTAGCTGTATCAGTACCTTTCGGTTTCCCCAGGTCATCGCCGCGCTCGACGTCATCCTCTTTTTGCAGGGAGGGCAGGGAGGTGTTCGACGAAGGGAAGACGCCAGAAGCACAAGCCTTCCAGGGTCCGCGCGGATTCCTTGGATCTGCGCTGGCCCCCCTTTCACGGCGCGCGGAGCGCGCCGGGGGCGGCGCCGGAGGCGCCGTCGGGTGGGGGGGCCCGCGTAAGGTTGATAAAACCGTGTGTGTGTGTACCACCTCGGTTTTTGGTCTATTACTTCTGATGTGCTTGCTTTCCTGTTGATTATGCTTTTCGTCATCTTTAAAGGGATTGATCAAAGTAGTGGAATGCAGAACGATTCCTGTTGTAGCACATTTTAAATTGAGTTCTTTTGTGGGTAATTAAAAGGGAATTCTGTTCATGGTGAATTACAAAGTGTTTCCTTTTGTGGCGGATTACAAAAAGATTCCTTTGGTGGAGGATTACAAAAGGATACCTTTTGTGGAGGATTACAAAGGGATTCCCTTTGGTGGAGGAATACAAAGGGACTCCTTTTTTGTGGAGGATTACAATTTGATTTCCTTTGAGTGCTTTCCTGGAAGTGAACCAGGGGACACAAGGAACAACAACAAACAAAAAAAATCAGAAAATCCTTGAAAATTAAAAAAAATAAAGGTTTTCAATGGTTTTCCAACGCTTTGAAGCAAAAGCATATAAAAACACAACATTTTCACAATCCGAATGCAAAAATTGTTTGTTTTCATATGGTTTCGGCCTCAAAACCTTGGAAATGCTGTGTTTTTTATATGTTTTTGCTTCAAAGCATTGGAAATTCATTGAAAACCTGCAATTTTCCCAATTTTCAAAGATTGTCTGATTTTTTTGTTTCTTTTGTCCCCTGGTTCACTTCCAGGAGAGCCCTCAAAGGAAATCAATTTGTAATCCTCCACAAAGGAATCCCATTGTATTCCTCCACCAAGGGGAATCCCTTTGTAATCCTCCACAAAAGAGATCCTTGTGTAATTCACCACAGAAGGATTTCCTTTTGTAATTCGCCACAAAAAGGAATCATCATGTGATCCTCCACAAAAGAAGTCCTTTTGTAATTCTCCACAAAAGGAATCCTTTTGTAATCTGTCACAAAATAAAACAATGTGTAGTTCACCACAAAAGGATTCCATTTTTTGTAATTCAACAACAAAAGAAATCAATTTGTAATCCGCTAATGTTTGTTTCGGGCCTCCGGAGGCCGGAGAATCGAGATATTAAAGCTTATTAATCTCTCTGGAACGCGCTTCGGCGCTCACCCACTGGAAGTAAGAGGGGTGAGGGGGAAGAGACGGAGGTGGAGGCGGAGGAGGAGGAGGAGGAAGAAGGGTAAAGAGAGGATAACTTTAGTCTGGTGGGCTGTGCTTCCCACTCGATTATGCTCTGTGGAACTCATTATGACAACGCATTGCTCCCAACGCATCTCGTCATCACCATCATCATCAGCAACATCTTGAAACGCATGCTCGTCATCACCATCGTCATCAGCAGAATCTTGAAACACATACTCATCATCATGATCGTCATCAGCAGCATCTTGAAACACATGCTCGTCGTTACCATCGTCATGGGCAACATCTTGAGACACATACTCGTCATCATCATCATCATCATCGTCATCAGCAGCATCTTGAAACACATGCTGGTCAGCACCATCGTCACCAGCAGCATCTTGAAACACATGCTCGTCAACACCATCGTCATCAGCAGCATCTTGAAACACATGCTCGTCATCACCATCGTCATCAGCAGCGCATTGAAACACATGCTCGTCATCACCATCATCATCAGCAACATCTTGAAACACATGCTCATCATCATCATCATCATCGTCAGCAGCATCTTGAAACACATGCTCGTCATCATCATCATCGTCATCACAAAAGACACCCACCTCTCATATAATCGCACTACAGATGGATCCACTTCCGAGAGAATCCTATTACATATGGATCCCTTTCCATAGAATTCGATTAGGAATGGATCCACCCCTGATAAGATCCCACTACATATGGAACCACCTTTAATATAATCCTATGACATATGGATCCGCCTCTAATAGAATCCCATTAGAGATGGGTCCACAACTGATGGCATCACATCAGAGATGGATCCACCTCGAATGGAATCCTGGTATGGATGGACCCACCTCTAATATAATCCTTTTACAAATAAGCCCACGTCTGATATAACCCCATTACATATGCGTCCACCTCGAATATAATTCTATTAGCGATGGATCCACCTCTGATAAAATCAAATTAGACATGGATACACCTCTAATGGACTCCAATTACTTATGGATCCACCTCGAATAGAATCCTAATAAGATGGTTCCATCCCCAATGGCATGCTATTAGAGATTGGTCCACCTCTAACAGAATCCTGTGACAAATGGATCCACCTCGAATGGGATCTTATTAAGGATGGACCCACCTCTAGTAGTATATGATTAGAGATGGATCTAATGGAATCCTAGTGCGGATGGATCCATCTCTAACAGAACCCTATGACAGATGGACCCACCTCTAATATAATCCTATCACATATGGGTCCACCTCTGAGAGAATCCTATTAGGGATGGGTCCACCTACCTCTGATGGGGTCCTACATGACATGAATCCACCTCTAGTAGAATATTATTACATATGGATCTACCTCTAATAGGATCGTAATACAAACGGGTCCACCTCCAATTCAATCCTACCAGAATCCTGATACAGATGGGTCCACCTCTAATGGAATCCTGTTACAGATGGATCCACATCTACCAGAATCCTGGCACTGATGGATCCATCTCTAATGGAATCCGACTACAGCTGGATCCACAATTGATGGAATCCTATGAGAGATGGGCCCATCTCAACTGAAAGTCTATTACAGGTCGATCCGCTCCACATGGAATCCTAACAGAGATGGGTCCACCTTTTAATATAATCCTGCTACACATGGATTCACCTCTAACAAAATCCTATTACAGATGGATCCACCTCTAATTGAATATTATTAGAGATGGTCCACCTATAATGGGATCCGATTAAACATGGTTTCACCTGTAATGGAATCCTATATGAGATGGATCCACCTCTAGTGGGGTCCTATTAGCGATGGGTCCACCTCTAAGATCATCCCAGTCCAGATATTTCCACCTCTAATAGAATCCGATGAGAGATGGATCCACCTCTCATAGAATCCTAGTAGCGATCGACCCACCATTTACACCCCCTCCCTACAGAAGGTTTTCTTTTGTGGCGGATTACGAATTGATTCCTTTTGTGGCAAAGTATACAGTGATTCCTTTTGTGTCTGATTACAAATAGATCCCTTTTGTAGCGAATTACAAATCAATTGTGTTTGTGGCGGGTTTCAAATTGATTCCTTTTGTGGCGGATTTGAAATGGATTTCTTTTGTGGCGGATTACAAATTGATTACAAGGATGATGATGCTGGTGATGGCGATGCAACGCAGCAGAACGAGGTGGGACGCACACACGGTTTTATCAACTCCACGGGGGGCCCGCCGCAGATCCATGCCACAGGCGCGGACCTCTGGACGTTCAATGATGCTTGTGGCGCCGTTTCTTCCTCCCTAGAGGTGTGGGATGACGGGCGGGGGAAGTACAATGGGTGCGGCGGCCGCTGGTCCCCAGAGAAGGACAATTTCGGATGCAACTCCTGGGAGGTCAATTTCTGACTTTGCCCTGGTCCGAAATCCGGTTCAATCCGTCTGCATCCCGCTAAATCCTTTTAAACATCCGGCGTAGAAGCCCCCCAACGAGGCTTGATTCTCCCTCATCCTTCCGACGAAGAGCTCCCATTACTTGCCTCCTAAGAAAATGCACCCATACCGCTCCGTGTTTCCCTTTTTGGGCCTCCTGGGAGGCCCCCGTCGCCACCGCTGGGTTCGCCTCGAAGTCCCTGTCAGAACGACCCCAGGAGAGGTCCGTGGAGTAGCTGTATCAGTACCTTTCGGTTTCCCCAGGTCATCGCCGCGCTCGACGTCATCCTCTTTTTGCAGGGAGGGCAGGGAGGTGTTCGACGAAGGGAAGACGCCAGAAGCACAAGCCTTCCAGGGTCCGCGCGGATTCCTTGGATCTGCGCTGGCCCCCCTTTCACGGCGCGCGGAGCGCGCCGGGGGCGGCGCCGGAGGCGCCGTCGGGTGGGGGGGCCCGCCGCAGATCCATGCCACAGGCGCGGACCTCTGGACGTTCAATGATGCTTGTGGCGCCGTTTCTTCCTCCCTAGAGGTGTGGGATGACGGGCGGGGGAAGTACGGACGTGGCTGCCGCCATCCAGCGGTGAGCAGCCTGCTCGCGGACTCCCAGGTGCTGACGGCGAAGCTGCTGAGCCCCCTGATCGAGCAGGAGCTGCGGCGCTTCGAGCTGCCCCGTGGACTCGGCGCGCAGGGCCGCGGCTTGGAGGGCACGCTGGACCCGAAGCTGCTCGAGCGCCTGGCCAGCTCGGAGCCTGTGGTGCCAGAGTGGAGCGGCCCCCCCCCCAAAAAGTTGTCGAACGTTTCCGTCGATGCCTGGCGGCTTCCAGCCTTGGGGAGCTGTTCAGCAGCTGCGACTCGCCGAGGGCGTTCTGGGTGTGCCCAGATCGTCTCGAGCGGCCTCCTGAGGCCCGCGTTGTGACCCGAAAGCCACCAGGCCGCACGGGCCCCCAAGCGCTGCGTGGGCCACACCGCGTGGTGAGTCGGCGGAGATCCGGGGCCACCGCACGGTTTTGGGACTCGGGCCGCTCTCCGAGGGCGTCTCGGGCGACCGGGGCCTCCGAGGTGCCGAAACCGCGCGGCGGCGCACCGCGCGGTGAGGTGGTCGGAGGCTCCGAAGCGCTCCGCCACCGCGCGGGTTGAGGGCCCCGAGGTGGACGCAGTCGGACCTCCGCACGTCGACGCCCGGCTACCTCGGCTGCAGGCCCGCCGGCCGCCACACGTCCAACCCCAGCTCGGCCGGCGCGGGGCGCCGCGCTTGGCCGAGGTAGGGCCGGTGTGCTGGTCCTCGGCTGCAGGCCCGCCGGCCGCCACAGGTCCAGCCACAGCGGGCGCGGGGCGCCGCGCTGGGCCGAGGAGGGGCACGGCGTGCTGGTCGGGCCCTCCTGCCGCGAGTGCAGCGGTCCCGCAAGGGCAGCCGTAAGTCGGCGGCGGGCCTGGGGGGGACGCGGGCGAGGGCAGGTCTTCTCAGAGAGACTGCGCTCGAAGAAGAAACATGGCATAAGCATGAACTTTTGGCGCTCCGCGCGGATTTCTTGCATCCGCGCTGGGCCCCCCCGGCGGCGCCTCCGGCGCCGCCCCCTGGCGCGCTCCGCGCTCCAGGGAGGGGGGCCCAGCGCAGATCCAAGAAATCCGCGCGGAGCGCAAAAAGTTTATCTTTATGCCGTTGTTTCTTCTTTTGTACACATCAAAGAAACCCTTCGCCGGAGTGACCTTTGGTGCGGGCCCACGGAGACCCCACGATCGCGGAACGAGGTGCGATGCCAGCGGCTTGTGCGCCCGGTTTTGGCCTTCCCGCGCCCCCCCCAAAGGCCGCGCACCAAGGGTCATTCTTGCCTAGGGTCACTCCGTGCGTGTTGCCGATCAGAAGGCGGTGGGGCTTCTCAGAAGCATTCGCGCCTGCCGAGAAGTTTTCTGAGCCTTCTCCCAGTGCAGGGCCGGCCTCTCAAGAGGGCTGAGGGGCGTCTGGGGAGCCCTGCTGGCGCCCTCGGAGACGGTCTGCTCCGCTCACTTCACCTCGCGGGCTCACCGCCGTGTCAAGCCACGTGGTTTTGATCCGTTTTTTGTCCACTTCGGTTACTGATTTGGTTTCTGACGTTCTCGTGTGGCGCGGTCTTCATGCAGCCAATATGGACATGCGGTTCTTGTTTGCCGATCACACTAATTCAGCATAGGTTCTAGTTTCTAGTCGTCATCTTCCGTTTGCACGCTCCGCGTCATGCCATCAAGGGCATGCCCAGCGTGCATCATTTTGCGACGTCACTAGTATGCAGCGTGCACGCTGTGCGTCAGCCGCTAGGACTCAGCCTGCACCATTAGCTGCGACGTCTCTATTTTGCCATCCGGCCATTCTTTTTTCCCAACTGTTATGTGGAGGCGAGCACATGTGTCTATGATTGGAGTCTGCTCGTCTGCCCTCTTGCTTGCCTCCTTCCCTCACTTTCTGCTCTTCTGGTCGCATGGCCAGAGCAGCTGGATCGATAGATCGTTTGTCAGATTCGCCAGTCTAGCAAAATATCAGGTTCGACAGCCACGGCAGCACATTTACCGACATCCAGTTACTATGAGTTCCTGTCTGCAGGTCTCGTGCTTCCCGCGGCCGTGTTCCAAATCTCCATCGCGCCTTTGAGGGTGGCCCCAACTTGGGCTTGGTCGGGCTGTGTCCCGCCTCGTGGCCGGACCAGTCACAGCGACCGCCAGGGAATGCAGTGAGAGGAGGAGTAGAGAGTCGTCACACCAGGAGTTAGTAGTAGCAGCAGTCGTCGTCGTCGTCGTCGTAGTGGTAGTAGTAGCAGTAGTAGTAGTAGTAGTAGTAGTAGTAGTAGTAGTAGTAGTAGTAGTAGTAGTAGTAGTAGTAGTAGTAGTAGTAGTAGTAGTAGTAGTAGTAGTAGTAGTAGTCGTAGTAGTAGTAGTAGTAGTAGTTAGTAGTAGTAGTAGTAGTAGTAGTCGTAGTAGTAGTAGTAGTAGTAGTAGTAGTAGTAGTAGTAGTAGTAGTAGTAGTAGTAGTAGTAGTAGTAGTAGTAGTAGTAGTAGTAGTAGTAGTAGTAGTAGTAGTAGTAGTAGTAGTAGTAGTAGTAGTAGTAGTAGTAGTAGTAGTAGTAGTAGTAGTAGTAGTAGTAGTAGTAGTAGTAGTAGTAGTAGTAGTAGTAGTAGTAGTAGTAGTAGTAGTAGTAGTAGTATGAGGAGCGGCAAGGGCGCACAGGCGGCGGAGTGCGGGCCGGCGGCGACGACGGCCCCGGTGGCGACGGCTGCTTGCCCCGCGCTGCCGCGTGGCTCAAGAGGAGAAAGGGCCCCTCCTCCCCCTCCTCAGAGGCGCGGGGGAGGCTCGGGGGGCCCGCCTGGGTTCGAGGGCCCGCAGGGGCCCATAGGGCCTGGGGGCGGCACCAGGAGGCCGCTCCCGAGGCCCTGAGGGGCCGAGGCTCCAGGTGAGCCTCACGTGGGGGCTGCTCCGGGAAACGAGTTCCCGAGCGGGCCCGGGCCCGGGCGATGGCGTCGCCCCAGCGGGCGCCTCGCGCGGAGCTGGGCGACGCCGAGGCGGGCGACGCCGAGGCGGGCGCGGAGGCTGGCGCGCCGTCGGCGCAGGCGGCCGCGGCCCCAGCGGCGGCGGCCGGCGCTGGCGTGGAGGTCGCCGGCTTCGAGGGCTCGCTGCTGGAGGCGATCGCCGACGGTGCCGTGGCGCGCCCGCCGCTGCTGGCCTTCGGCGCCTGGGTGCAGTGGCGCGCCGGCCCAGGTCGCCGGCTTCGCACTGCGCCCGCGATCGCGGCCAGCGAAAGCGCGCTGTGGCGGAGCACCATGGAGGCGCTGCACGGCCAGGACTGGCAGGCGCGGCTGCGCCAGCAGGGCCCCGCCGCGGCGCGCAGCCCCGCGACGCCAGCGGCTGCGCAGCCGCCGGCGGCGGACGACGTCCTGCGGCTGCTGGACTCGCCCGCGCGCGCGTCCGACGCGGGCTCCGACGCCACTGGAGCGCTGTCGGACGGCAACTGGGGGCCGCTCACGGACGACGAGGTCCTGGAGCGGCTGCTCAAGGACGTGGAGCCGCACGAGTCGATGCGCGACTTCGAGCGGCGCCTGCTGCGCGCGCGCGCCGTGCTGACGCTGCGGCGGCAGGCGGTGCCGGAGGGCGCGGTGGAGTTCGGCATGAGGAAGGCCCGCTTCCTGGTGGAGGCGCGGGCCCACGGCGAGGGCGTGGCGGCCGCGCTGGAGGCGAAGCTGCACGCGGTGCTGGACGTCGAGACGGACGACGCCGACGAGGACGTGCGGGCGCTGATGGACCTCCTCGCGGTGGCGCGCGGCGGCGGCAGTGCTCGCGACGCGGTGGCCGGCGGGGCGCCGGCGCGGCCCCCGCAGGACCGAGCCCCGCCCGCCGGGCCCGCCGGCGTCGGCGCGGCTCCCGCGGCGCCCGCCTTCCCCGCGTTCGGCGAGGACCTGCCGCCGGGGCTTCCCCCGAGGGGCGGGCCGACGGAGGCGGGCCCGGCGGAGCCCAGCCTGGCGGCAGCGCTGCAGGGCCTCGCGGGAGCGCTCGGCCGGCGGGCCGACAAGAAGTCGTCCACGATCCAGGTGAAGCCGCACTACAGTCTGCCGACTCTCGGCGACGGCGGCTTCGACGTGGACTCGTTCGTGGAGGAGTTCGAGGAGATGGTCGGCCTGGCGAACGACGGTGCGGGCATGTCGGCGACGGAGATGGTGCGTGTGCTGGGGACCTGCCTGAAAGGCTCGCGTCAGCGGGCGTACAAGGTCGAGCTGAAGCAGGCGCGCCGGTCAGGCAGGCTGGCGGCGGACCCGGACGAGGTGTACCAGAGCCTGAAGGAGCGGCTGATGGAGTTCAAGGAGGGCTTGCTGGAGAAGCAGCAGCGGCTCAACGCTGAGTGGAGGACGCTCTCCCGCGGCAAGATGAGCGCGCTGGAGTTTCAGGCGACGTTCGAGAACATCGTGGCGGAGATGGAGCTGGCTGGGATGGGCAAGTCCGATCGCGACCTGCTGCTCGGCTACCTGGCGCTCATCCCCCCCGCGCACCGTGCCGAGGTGCTCAAGGATCGCCGAGTGTATCAGCGCTCTGGCGCTCAGCCCGAGGTCCGCGGCGTCGAGACCTGGAGGGGGGCCCATCGCGTGCTGCTGAAGCTGGAGGAGGCCGAGAGCTCGGCCAAGGCGCTCGTCGCGGCGGTGGGCTCGGACTTTGCGCCTAGCCCGGGCGGCGGCGGTGGCCGGCGTCGGCGCGGAGGCGGCGGCGGCGATCAGGAGCCGCCCGAGGTCGGCGCTGTTGGCGGCTCCGGCGGCGCCAGCGCTGAGGGTGCTGTGAAGGTCTGCTTCCAGATGAGGGACAGCGGCACGCGTGCGCGTGGTGACGCCTGCAGGTTCTCGCACGACCGGGCTGCCATCGCCGAGTCGCGTAGGGCCAAGAAGGACGCGACCGGGCCGAAGGGCAAGGGCGCGGACGGCAAGAAGGGCAAGGGCTCGGATGACGGCGGCAAGGGCGGCCTCAAGTCGCAGCTCTGCCTTCAGTTCCTCCGGGGTGCGTGCAGCAAGAGCGAGAAGGACTGCAAGTTCAGCCACTCGGGTAAGGCAGCTCAGAAGGTCATTGCAGCGGTCTATGCTGGCGCGGCCGCAGCTAAGGCGCCGCCGCCGAGCCTCGGCAGCGCGGGCCCCCCCGGCAGCGGCCAGGGAGCAGCGCCTGCGGCCGAGGAGGCGGCGCGGCCCGCAGCCTCTGGCGCGGCGCCGAAGGTGCAAGCTGCGGCGGGTGGCAAGCTCGAATGGGTGCGACCCTGTGGCGGCGTCTTCGGCCCGAGCTACGACCTCCCGCAGGTGAGCGTCGTCAGGGGTTCGCCTTCGCCCGAAGGAGCTCTGAAGGACCTGGGCCAGATCCCCGCCAGCGCCTGGGCGCAGGTGCAGGAGCCCGACGACGGGTACCACTACTTGTGCCACACGCACGTCTACGGCCTCAGCATCAGGACGCTCCTTGATGGCGGGGCTGTGTTCTCCTTGACGTGGGAGGCGACGATCGTTAGCATCATCAACAGCGCGATCGCGGAGGGCAAGTCTCCTGAGGACCCCGACTGGCCGATCGCGGGCCTGATGCACTGGGGCCGGGATTCGAAGGCCTCGTCGGTGGCGGACAAGGGCGACCTGAGGATTCGTGGCATGGTGGACCTGCGCCTGGCCTTCGAGGGGCTGGATGGTACGCGAGTGGTGCGTGTGTTTCGCCTTCGGCTTCTGCGAGGGGGTTGGGACAGGCCGTTTCTCATCATTCTTGGGGCCCCAGCGCTCGATGCACCCCCCCTGGGGATCGGGCACCGGCCTACGCTACAGGGCCACTACCTGCCGGGGCTGGGCATCACGGTCAAGCGCGCGGAGGCCGACGCGGTGCAAGCGAAGCTGTTGACCATCTCGGCGGTGTTCTCAGAGTGCGATGCCGATAGGCGTCGAGGTGAGGATCGTCGGGCTGCCAGTGCTGTAGGATCCCTGGTGTGGTCCGGCGCGGCCTGCCCGAGCTACCCCATCTGCGTGGTCGGCGGCCAGTGCCCCGCGGAGTTCGGCGGCGGCGACACAGGCGTGATCGTGCTCGACGACTCGGAGTCCGCCGTCCCCATCTACCTGAGCGGCGAGGAGGGCGTGCGGCTGGAGCTCGGCGACTGCGCTCTGGTGCCAGCTCGCGCTAGCGGCTTCGCAGCGGGTATCGTCGGCGACGTGGTGGCGAATGGCGCGGCGGCCGTCTGGGCCGCCCCCGGCCCTTGGCTCGGCCGGGAGCAGCTCGTCCTGGTCGGCAATTGGGACCAGCCCGGCGTCAGCATCGAGGTCGGCGACATCGTGGGCGCCGTGATTCAGACCGACGGCGAGCCGGCCGGCGACGGCCCGTCGGTGGCGCACGTGTGGCAGGATTGGGACGAGCTTCGGGACATCGTTGAGCTGGAGGTGCCGACGGACGAGTACTACGCCGAGCGTCTGGTCTACTGGCAGCGGAAGTACCCGAAGGCGGCCACCACCCTCCTCGAGCATCTCTTGGCGGTCGAAGGCCTGCTGGACGTGTGCATCGCGGCCGGGTGCTCCATGGGTGCCGAGAAGTCCCTCGACAGGCTGGCTCAGCCCTCCATCGAGGCGCTCGGCGAGATCGTGGGCCGCGAAGGCAGCGAGGCGTGCGAGCGGCATCTGGAGCTTATCAAGAACTGGTCGGTGCTCGAGGACGTGGCTGCGCTGCGGCGGTTCCTTGGCACGTTCAACTGGATCCGCGGCCACTTCCCCAAGGAGGTGCAGAAGCCGCTGGGGATCCTCACGCAGCAGCTCAAGAAGGACGCCGAGTGGCCGATGACCCCCGAGAAGGTTGCGGCCCAGCGCGCCATCCAGCAGCTCGCGTGCGAGGCCATCCGCCTCGCGGTGATCGACATGGTCGGGGCGATCTCTAAGGACCGCCCGCTCGAGCAGGTCGCGGACTTTTGCCCCTACGGTTGGGGTGGCAGCGTATATCAGCTGGCCGCCGACCGCCGCACGCTCAACGTGCTGGCGATGTACGGCGGCTGCCTCAGCTTGGCGCAGAGCAACTGGCACCCCCGCCGGGGTGAGCTGTATGCGCAGCGTGAGACCAGGCGGGAGGCACGTAAGGACTTCGGTCGGCTGCCCGCCCTGTGCTGGACGGACCACGCGGCTTCGGTGAAGGACGCTACGGGTGAGGCCGAGTCGGACTCCACCGTCATCCGCTGGGTTGGCGAGATCGAGAGCGACGGCAGCAGGCTGATGAATCTCTCGGGGCGGAGCGCGGCCCTTGGTGATGGCCCCTCCCGAGAGAACGAGGCCCACGGCAAGTTCCTGCGCGAGCAGGCTCACTCCCTGGCGAACATCACGATCGAGGACATCATCGGCGATGACTACCGCCCAGGGGAGGGGGTTCCGTGGGGCCTGGACGAGACCCCCGACGCGGCCGCCTTGCAGCTGGTGGCCGTGGCCGGGGCGGAGCGCGAGAAGGGTGACTCCATCGCGCTGTACCTGCCGGACTACGGATGCGAGAGGCGGCGGGGCGCAGAGCAGGCGCGGGCAGCTCGACAGCTGCAGCTGGCGGCGCCAGGCCTGCGGCTTCGCATGATCCCGCACGATCCCCCGCTGGCGGACGGTGCCGGCGGCCTGTACTACATCGCGCCTCCTCGCTTCCCAGGTGATGCGAGTAGCAAGGCGCGGAAGCAGCTTCGCAATGACGTGCTGACCGCGGTGGCCGCCGTCTTGCGAGAGAGTGCCGCGCGGTGGCCCAAGGTCGTGATCGGGGCGGGCCACGGCGGGCTGGCGGCGGCTGCAGCGGCCCACCCCAGAGTGGTGGAGGCCGCTCTCGCGCTGCGGTACGCGAGAGAGGCGGAGGGCATGCAGGTCGCGGAGGCGTGGGTGAACGTCAGGGCGTTCGTGGCGATCGGGCCGCGCGCCCACAGCCCGAGCAGGATCGGCTTCGTGCGAGAGGCGTTTCCTGAGTTCGGAGCGGCTGCCCACGGCGACGAGCGCCCGGCCCCCCTCTATTTGGTGGAGGGTGCCGGAGCGCACCGCCGTTTTGGGCAGGACCTCGGCGAGGCGCTGGGCGTGAAGGTGTCGGCCACGCTGGGCGAGGTCCTCATGCAGGAGGTGGTCTCTGCCCCCCCGCGGCTGCTGGAGTTCAGCGGCGGCCGCTGTGCGTGCGGGCGGAGTTCGCTGGTGCTGGCGCGGTGCGGCCAGTGCATCAGAGCCGACCGGGAGCTCGAGGAGGAGGCGCGGCTGGCTGAGGTGCCGGAGGACGCGTTCGGGGAGCCCGACGCGGTCGACGTGGCGGCCTCGGCGGCGCGCGTGCGCGCGGTCCGCCCGCAGCCGGCAGTTGCTGTCGGGCCTGGCCCCTGCATCGCCGTGTCGGCGGAGCTCGTGCGGGACCTCCTGGAGTTCGGTGGGGGCCGAGCGGATTTCACGTGCAACTGCATCCGGGTCCGCCGGGCGCCGGCTGCAGGCGTCGTGGCCTTGGAGGCCGCTCGGGATTATTCCTATCGGCTGTCGTGCTTCGTCGTGCCGCAGGGGCCCGAGCCGGGCGTGGAGGTGGCGCTGGCGCAGCCGTGCGTGGAGTTCGGGCTGGAGCTCGTCACGGAGGTCGACGTGGAGCTGCTGCAGGCGGGCTTGCCGAAGGACGCCGAGCTGGTCCAGCTATTCGCCTGCGCCTGGCTGCTGTGGGAGGGCGGCGCGCGCCTCCCCGCGCTGGGCGCCACTCACGTGCATCGGCACTGCAGGGGGTCGGCCGTCAGCAACGGTGCGACCATCAAGGTGTCCTCCTACTCCTCCGCCTGCTCCGAGATCTTCGCGGGCGCTCTGGGGCTATCATGGTACCGGGCCCTCCGCGATCGCTTCGGCGGGCGGGCTTCGGGGGCCTTCGTCGAGTTCGCGGACTCCGACTTCGCGCGCGGAGAGCGGGAGGCCTTCGAGGTGCCGGACGTCCTCGGAGCGATCACCAGCATGCGGGCGCCGGCGTCTGAGCAGGCATGCTCCGTCGGGCGCGTGGCATGCGCCCCGGAGCGCGGCACTGCAGCCTTCGACGCGGAGGTGGCGGACGGGCGCAAGCTGGAGGACGCCGACATCGCCATCAGGGAGGAGTACGCCGCGAAGGTGCGGGGCTGTGAGCCTGAGGCGGGGAGCGAGCCGTTCGAGCTGTCCAAGTCGCTTCGTGCCCACATCATCGGGGACCAGTGGAAGGACGAGGAGCTCGGGGCCATCTGCATGCAGCTCCGCGCCGAGTCTGGCGCCGGCGACACCCCCGAGGCGCAGCGTCTCGGGGAAGACTTCGCGCTTGAGCAGTTCGTGACGGTGGGCCCAGGGGAGCAGCGCTGGCTGCTAGTCCTCCCTGCGTCTGGCGGACCGGGCTCGGGTATATCGTGGAGGCGCTTCATCTTCCTCCACGTTCACGCTGGTCCGTCGGGGGGCCACAAGACGGTGGTCGCCACTCGTGAGTGCGCCCGGCGGCTGGTGGTTTGGCCGGGGCACGCGGCGGACATCGAGAAGTGGTGCGCTAGCTGCTGGGCCTGCCTCCGATTCAGGAAGCAGACTACGAAGGTGCAGGCCAGCTTCATCGTGGCACGGCACCGGCTTCCATTTCATCATGTGGTCATCGACGTGGAGGGCCGCATTACTCCCCCCGACGTCGACGGGTACGCGTACGTGCTGACCTACATCTGCGTGACGACGGGGGCCCCCCTGCTCGAGCCGCTCAAGCACCTGCAGCACTCCGAGGTTCGGCGCGCCTTCTTTCGATGCGCGACTCGGGCCAAGACCTGGCCGATGCTGGTGAGTTCGGATCGTGGCAAGGAGTTCTGCAACGCTCTCATGGAAGAGCTCTGGGCGCTCCTCAACTTCGCAGGCCGCTTCGGCACGTCGTGGAGGCCCTGCGAGCAGGCGGACGCGGAGCGGTCCCACATCGAGTGCGCGAGGGAGATCGGCATCTTCCTGCACGACGTTTTTAAGTGCGCCCCCGGCCAGTGGGCCGAGCTGCTGCCGATCGTCGAGTTCGCGTTGTGGAACTCGCCCGGCAAGTCGGCGCTGTCGCCGAGGGACCTGTGCATGGGTTGGTCGTTGGCTTCGCCGCTGGAGAGGGAGCTGCTGCCGCTGGAGCCCGCCGTTCGTGAGGCAGTCTCCGACGTCGCGGCAGCACAGTCCGAGCAGTTCAGGCGTTTGCGGGAGGTTTACCTTCAGCATCGGGCTCGAGCCGGCCGGCGCAGAGCGGAGCTGGCTAATCGCACGAGATCGTCGAGGCGCCCGGAGGTCGGGGACATGGTATTGTTCAAGGACCCGAAGCTCTCCAAGGCCGTGGCCGGGCACGCTCCGGGCCGCCGCCCTCTGCGCGGCCCCTTCGAGGTCCTCTCCACGAAGGGCAACGTCGCCACGTTGCGGGGCCCCGAGACCCAGCAGGTGCTCAAGGACATCCACGGCGATTTCTTGGTCGGCGTCCCGGGCTTGGTTGACGACACGGAGCGCATCGTGAAGTTGGAGGAGGACGACGGCCGTGGCAGGGCCTCTGCCGGACAGCTTCTGGCAGCGCGGCTGGCCCCTGGAGGCGGCGAGGCCGCCGAGGCGCTGGCGCCGCGCGTGAAGGCGCGGATGCGAGAGGTGAAGGTCGGGCGGCTCGTCGCCTACCAGGGCGAGGAGGCGAAGCGCTGCCGGGTGGGCAAGGTGCTGAGCCTGGCCGAGGACCTGAGCAGCGTGACGGTGCACGTGTACCAGGCGGCGGTCGACGGACGGCTGCAGGTGGTCTGGACAGCGGCGTACGACCGCCAGGAGGGCGCGGACTTCCAGCGGCAGAGAGTCGAGACGCTGGAGGCGAAGCGGGTGCTGGGTGTCGTGGAGCTCAACAAGGGCGTGCTGAACCACTCGGCGGCGAGCAGACTGGCGCGGGCCGGCTGGCGGCTGGACGAGGGGACCGTGCGGCACGGTGCCTTGGCGGCGGCGGCAGTGGCGCCGGCCGCGCCACGGCTCTCCGACCTCCCTTCGAGCCGCGTCATCGCGCTCGTCGCAGCTTGCCGTCCGCTCGAGGAGCTCGACCTGAAGATCGGCGAGGTCCAGGCGTGGGCGCACGGCGTCCCCCTCTTCGTGGAGATCTTCGATGGGGTCGGGAGGCTCTCGCAGGCGGCCCAGAGCTTAGGCGCAGCCAACGCGGTGTGCAGCGTGATGGCCGGCATCGACCTCAAGCGCAGGACGTACGGGCAGTACTGGGACCTCAGCAGGGCCAAGGACCGCGCCCGGCTTCGCTACCTGCTCTTCGAGGTGCTGAGGCCGGCAGGAGCCCACTGGGCGCTCCCCTGTGCTAAGTGGAGCAGCCTCGGTGGCCACCAGCCCGACGCCAACGCGCACGCGCTAGCTTCCTTCACCATGGACGGCCTCGAGCACCTCGACGGCGCGGGCTGCCTGGCCTCCTTCGAAGGCCCTCGAGCGCACGCGCTGGTGGCGAGCGTGGAGTGGCAGCAACGGTTCGGGTCAGCCGAGGCGCCGCGCGGGCGCTGGCGATACGTGCTCCCCGACGGCTGCATGTTCCACTGCAGGAGCCCAGACGAGGAGCCCCTGGCCATGCAGAAGCCGTACGTCATCGTGGGCAACTTCCCGCTGGACTTGCTGGACGTCCAGTGCCGCCGTGGAGCGCTGCGGCCGCTAGGGCGCGGCCTCGAAGGCGTCGAGGTCGCCTCCGCGGAGTTGGGCGGCGACGCCGGGAGCTCCATGATCGGAGCCGCGCGGGCGCTGGAGGGGCCTCGCATGCCCTGCGAGCCGGGACGCGCGGCCGCTCCGGCGGCTGGAGTGACGAGGTCGGTGGACAAGCTGAGCGACGCCGAGATGGCGGAAAGGAAGGCACGGCGGGAGCCGGCGGCGGCGGCGGCGAAGAAGAAGTGGGCCGAGCTGGCCAAAAAGGGTGACTGGGATCAGGTGCGGATGCCCGGCAAGTGCTTCAGGTTTGCCGAGGTGAAGGTTTCGCCGAGGCGCTCTGCGGAGTACAAGGCCAAGGTTCTGGAGGCGGTCGGGCTCGTCGGCGAGTGCGCGGGCTACAAGCACCTGGGCAGCCAGGAGCTGGAGGCGCTGAAGGAGATGATCAGCCTGAAGGCCGAGGCGTTCTGGGTGAAGGGTACCGCGGGGACGGTCATGCGCGGCTTCAAGCACGACGTGGTGACGACCGGCTTGCCTGTGCGTGGGCCGCCGATCCGCTTGAAGGGCCCGGAGGCTTCCATCGTCCGCGAGGAGCTCGAGGCGGGCGTGGAGCAGGGGCTGTACTCCAGGGGGACTTCGCCCTGGGGCAGCTGGGCCTTTCCGACCAAGGAGCATGCGAGCGGCCGAAGGCGTCGGACCGTCGTGGACTACCGGATGGTCAACCGCAGGATGGTGATGTTCGTGTACTACATCCGCCGGTGCCGAGACGTCAAGGGCGAGCTGGTGGGCTGCGCCTTCATCTCTGGCATGGACGGCGCTCGCGGCTTCAACCTCCTGGTCAACACTGAGCACGCGAAGGAGGTCCTGGCTGTGCTGGCGGACTGCGGCTGCTACCTCCCAGAGGTGCTGCAGCTGGGGCCAGCGACGGGGCCCTTCGACTTCCAGTTCTGCACCGACGAGCTGTTCACTGGGACCGGCCGCGGACGCTACGGATCGGTCTGGAAGAATTACATCGACGACTTCTGGGTCAGGACGGGGCAGTGGCTGAACGGTCGCGCCTACACCGACCGAGAGTACGAGGAGATGCTGGCGGCGGCATCCCCCCCCCCGGCTGCCTCTCGCCCGCTGGGCGACTCGCTGGCAGCAGCCGGGTTCGCGGGGACCCGCAAGGCCAGCCAGAGCTACGACCACGCCAAGGGCGTGCTCGTGGGGCTGTGCGTGGCGCAGTCGGCCACGGGAGCGGCGGCTATGGAGGGCGGCGGCGTTGCCTTGGCGAACGGCCTCCGCATGCTGGTGGTGGCTGCCGCGGTGCGCACGGCGTCCTTGGTGGATGAAGGGCTGCGCGCGGGCGTGCAGCTGACGCAGGACATCTTCGAGGCGGCCGGCGACCTGGTCCAGAGCGTCTCCTGGAACCTCAGCGGGCTCATCCACGAGGTGTGCGAGGGGGCGGTCCTGGTGGTGCGCGTCCTGGTCGTCGTGCAGTGCTGCTACGCTCTCTACTGCCTGCGCTCGTGGGTGGCTTGCCGTTCGCAGCGGGCGGCGCTGGAGCGCGCTGCCACCGCCGGCGAGGCGGCTCAGCGCGGACTCACGTCCAGCGCGCGAGCCTGCGAGGCCGGCGACGGGCCCGCCTTCGGCCGCGAACCGATGGCCAGGGCGGCAGCCGCTGGGAGGAGCCCGAGCGGGGCCATCTCATCAGCAGATGGCGCCGCCAGCCCTGTGGTGGCGCTGTGGCGCGAGGCGGAGTTCGAGACGCCCCTGCTCGGAGCGGCGGCACGCCCCCGAGCGGAGGTCCTCCAGATCCAGCGGGGCGCAGCTGTGGCGCTGCGGGACCTGGAGCACTCGGACCGCCAGCGCGCCGCGCGCGCGCGCGACCTGGCCGCTTGCGGCGCGGTGGTGTCCGCAAAGCTGGTGGAGGCTGCGCGCAGCTCAGCGGTGAAGGACGCGGGCGACCTGTGCGAGTTCGAGGTTGAGGTGGCCGGCAGCCGCGGCGTGCGGTATGATGTGCGGCTTCGCGCTGGACGCTTGGCTGCAGCGTTGCTCCCCGCATCGTGCACTTGCGCGGACTTCGTCGGCGGCGTTGGCAGCCCCTGTAAGCACATCGGGGCGGCCTGGTGCTGCGCGGTGGACGGCAACTTCAGCGAGCTGGTGGAGTTGGCGCTCGCGGCTGGCCGCAAGGAAGGAGCTGCCGCTGGACCTCAGCGACGCGCAGCCCTGGCGCCGAGCGACTCCCTTGGCCTCGCGGGGGCCGTGCGGGAGCTCCGCGACTCGGAGGCCGAGGTCGTTCGCCTGCGCGAGGAGGTCCAGCAGCTGAAGGCGCAGCTGGGGGCGACCTCCAGGCGCGGAGCCGTGACCGAGTTCCTCTCGGCGTCGGAGACGCTGGCGGCTTGGGCGCGGGCTTGCGGTGAGGCCGAGAGCTATGTGTACGTGGCGTGCTTCACCTTCGACCAGCCGGGCGTGGTGAATTACCTGGAGGCGGCTCGAGCTCGAGGCCTCGCAGTCCGTTTGGTGTTCAGCGGCCGTGACAAGGCCTTGACCAACAACCAGGGACCGCGCCTGCAGCGGCTCCGAGCCTGTGGGTGCGAGGTGCGCGCTCACAAGGGCTCGCGGCTGCACGCCAAGGTGATGATGACAGAGCGCGAGATTGTGCTGGGCAGCTGCAACTTCACGACTGCCAGCTTGAGCAACGTGGAGCGCGGGGCTTCGTTGCAGGAGCTGTCCGAGGAGACGGTGCTCGAGCAGAAGGAGTGGTTCGAGCAGCTGTTCGAGGCGGCGGCGCCCTTCAAGGACGGGATCGGCGAGGTGGTGCCCCCGTCGCCGGCCCGGTGAGGGCGCCGCGAGGCGCTGGAGGCCGGCTGGGCGAGAGGCCTAGCGGCCGTGGCGCCGAGGCGCGAGGCGCTGGAGGCCGGCTGGGCGAGAGGCCTAGCGGCCGTGGCGCCGAGGTGCGAGGCGCGGGAGGCCGGCTGGGCGAGAGGCCTAGCGGCTGTGGCGCCGAGGCGTGAGGCGCTGGAGGCCAGCCGGGCCAGAGGCCTAGCGGCCGCGGCGCGAGGCGCTGGAGGCCATCTGGGCGAGAGGCCTAGCGGCCGTGGCGCCGAGGGCGAGGCGGCGCTGGTGGCCAGCTGGGCGAGAGGCCCAGCGGCCGTGGCGCCGAGATGGCAGGAGCGCGGCATTTTGCTGCGCCGTCGACGCCCGGCAGCGCCGGGAGCTATGAGCGACTGCATGGCGCCGAGTTCGGCGACTTCGAGGAATTCATCGACTTCAATTTTGTGGAGCGGCACGTCGCGGAGGACGTGCCGGGGCGCCTGTGCCGCGGAGTGGTGCCCTGCTCGAGGAGAGGGGCACGTGAGGAGCGGCAAGGGCGCACAGGCGGCGGAGCGCGGGCCGGCGGCGACGACGGCCCCGGTGGCGACGGCTGCTTGCCCCGCGCTGCCGCGTGGCTCAAGAGGAGAAAGGGCCCCTCCTCCCCCTCCTCAGAGGCGCGGGGGAGGCTCGGGGGGCCCGCCTGGGTTCGAGGGCCCGCAGGGGCCCATAGGGCCCGGGGGCGGCACCAGGAGGCCGCTCCCGAGGCCCTGAGGGGCCGAGGCTCCAGGTGAGCCTCAAGTAGTAGTAGTAGTAGTAGTAGTAGTAGTAGTAGTAGTAGTAGTAGTAGTAGTAGTAGTAGTAGTAATAGTTATAGTAATAGTCGTAGTCGTAGTAGTAGTAGTAGTAGTAGTAGTAGTAGTAGTAGTAGTAGTAGTAGTAGTAGCAGAAGCAGTAGTAGTAGTACTAGTAGTGGTAGCAGTAGTGGTAGTAGTAGTAGTAGTAGTAGTAGTAGTAGTAGTAGTAGTAGTAGTAGTAGTAGTAGTAGTAGTAGTAGTAGTAGTTGCTGTTGTTGTTGTAGTAATAGTAGGAGTAGAAGAAGTAGTAGTAGTAGTAGTAGTAGTAGTAGTCGTCGTCG